CATGCGGGAGGGGAAGCACGCTGTTTTGCGTAACCTCAGAGGTTGAACTTGTAGCGAGGGTTGGGAGCTCAGACAGCAAATTTCAGCCGAAAGCAAGGAGGACTTTTCTGTTAGGTCTGTCCAAAGGAGAACCTGGCTGAGAAAAGCAGTGGTGAGTTCCCCATCCCTGGAGGTATGTGAGTCAAGGTTGGATAGAGTGGATGGGGGATGTCGTTCAAGATGGCCCTTGAGGTCACCTCTGTCCCTGTGAGGCAGCATGTAAGCGAGACCAGCTGACAAGAGCCCTCATGCAGGCAGCTGTGGGGAAATTGCAAGTGACGGTTTGGTTGGCACCCACAAGAGGTCCCACCCGAAGGTGCTGCTGGTCCTCGAGGTCTGAGGCCTGGGGGGAGGGCCTGGGCACGGGTGGGAGAGTCCAGCAAATAATAGTTCCTCCTCTCCCCTCCCTCCTGCCCCCAGGCTCGCCTCACCCTGTGCTTCGCGACCACGGTCGGTGCTGGGCCTTTGAGCTAGGAATACCCGTGGCAAAACAAGGTGACCACACTTTAGGGAAATTTGCTTCATGAAAAAAAATGTACCCAGTAGGACACTGTCGTACGCTGATTCCACGTAAGGGGTCTTCCAATCTCAAAGTGGTCGGACCGGAGTAAGGCTTGTGAGATTGGCTTGATGGGCTTCCTGGGTTTACAGATGGCGGCCCATAGCAGTGCTAGTCCCCCGCTGGGGTGCAGGCCCAGAGCTCCCGGCCTCAGGGGTGCTTTGTCTCCAGCGTGTGTGGTTGCATGGATGCGTCTCCCATCCCTTCATATTGAGATGCCTGGTCCATTCGCGTGTGTGACTATAACGGCAGGTTGCATTTCAAGTGAGCCCTACTCTACAAAGATGCACTTCAGGTGGGATGTTTTCCTTCCAGCAGGAAATCCAGATCCGGATCTGGCCTGGCAGAAGCAAGCTCTCTTCCGCGGGGGGACTCTTCTCGGGCGTTTGTCTCCTCCGTAAAGATGGAGCCGAGGGGAGAGCAGTAGCGACACCAGGGAGGCAGGTGACGGAGAGAGATGGCCCTTCCTCCCACTGGCCAGGGGACCTCGGGCGAGTCCCTCGATGCCCCATGTCTTCATCTGGAAAGTGGGAAGATAATCCTTGCCCTTGGGGCTTGTGGGAAGTAAATTGGGTGAAATACTCGAAGCACCTGGCACATAGGAACAAATGCCACTCGCAGTTCTGAAGTCTGCTTCAGGTGTCCGACTGCCTGCATTTGCTCCCTAGCTCTCTGCTACTTAGTAGCTTTATGGCTCTGTGCCATTTACATCATCCCTCTTGGTCTCCCTTTCTTCATCTGTAGTATGGACATAAGAATAGTGCCTAACGGTGCATAGGGCTGTGGTTCTCAAACTGTGGACCAAAGCACCCCATGGTGCCACAGCACATTCACAGGGGTGCAGTGAGATGTTCATAATCTTCAAGAAAAAACCAACATACTAAATGGCTGTCAGACATCAGAACAACTGTTAGCTCAAGATAACTTACGGTTTCAACATCGCACCACGCTTTTTCCCTTTCCTGGGCATCACATCTGTGCAAAGGTGGGCTTTGGGCATTCGGAAGTTCTCTGAGACAGACGATGAGGGTGGAGGGTCCAGTCTGATGCCAGGATTTGAGAACTTGTGCAGAGCCCCAGGGAGTACACATGCCCCTTAGTAAGTCATTGTGGCTCTTTAGGAATGGGATACAAATATTTTTTTCTTTCAATGGATGCGTGTAATTTTTTCAAACGGCTACCAAGTTGTTAGGGGACACACACACACGCACACGCACACACACACACAAGTTGTTCGGAGGTAACTGCTTAATAAACCACTAGGGATTTCTTTTGACTCTTGGGGTAAAAATTACCAAGACACTAAAGACCAGAGAAGGGTAGGGACCTCTGTCAGCATCGCTGCAGGGACTCAGGAGGTCATATGAAATGTCCTGTGAAAGCATCGGACAGAATTAGCACCCAGGGACCCAGAGACTCCATTACTCTTCTCCCTCCAGGCTGGCCCCCACTGGGCAGGCTCAGGTGGTCCTCAGGCGCTAGGACCCAAGCCAGGGCCAACGTGGAAGAGAAGTGTCCCCTGATTAGGGTGGGGCCCACCTTAGCGGTTTCCCAGGCTCCAGCAGTACCCCTCCCCATCCCGCTTTTATCTTGTTTGCTTTCACTGAGCACCTACTACATGCCTGGCAAGCATATAGTCTGCCGGTGGTCCACCTGGGCAGGAATTCTCAGGTCAGACCTGGTTCTTGTTTCCTGGCAGCATCTGAATCCAGCATGCCTGGGGGGTGGGGACATCGCAAGGTGGAGGCAGCTACATCCAGAGCTGCACTGCCGTGCCAGAGAGGCATTGAGGAGGATGCCCAGCCCTCTCCCTGCCAAGGCCAGAGATGAGTGCCAGGGTGGAGAAGAGGGCTGGAGCGGGGAGGGCGGGGCCGGGGGCTGCCAGACTTGGGGCCTGCTGCACTAATGGATGTCTAATGTTTACTTCCCTCGGCTGTGTCTGCGCCTGCTTTATAAATGCGCCGCATTAGGGTTATAAAACAAAGTCGTAAATACAGCCCGCAGTGCCGCAGAGAGCCAGGGCGGCCATCACCTGGGGGCTGGGGGCTGGGGGCCGTGTGGCTGGGAGGCAGGGCTGCTATGCACCTGCACCACAGGCTCCCGTGCACCTTCTCTGGTGGCCGCCGCCACCCCCGGGGGTGGGGCCTGGTACCCTATTTCACAGATGGGGTGCCTGAGGTCAGGAAGGGCTGCTTCGGACCCAAAGGTGTCTGAGTCTCAAGCCTGCACCCTGCCGCTCACCCCTCAGGCCTGAGACAGAAGCAGGGTACCGGCAGTGGGAGAGGGGGTGTGGGGCCTTGCGGGTGCCCTGCTACGTCTTGGCTGCACCCCATTCTCTAGCCGTGGGAGGCCAGTGTCCAGCTGCTCCCTGGGCAATGTTTCATCTTGCCGTCAACCGCTCAGGCTCCCAGAACACGGGGAGTTTGCCTACCAAGGTGTCTCCCTGCCTGGCAGAGGGAAGCGGTTGCAGAGGCCCCGGAATCCTTGGGGCTGTCCCCAATGTGGCTGCTCATTCACCAGGGGGTCTCCTGTGACGTCCTGGGACCAGTGAGGCCCGTCACTGCCCTGTTTGGATGCTCTTCAGTTTCTTCAGCTTTGAAACAAGGGCAGTTCTGGCCTTGCCAACCCTTTAATGAGAGAGCTCTTGGAATTGTAGGGTCCTGGTTGGTGTCCGGATCTATTAGGATCCTCAGATGCTAGGACACTTACCCTGTCATGGAGCTATGCCAGTAACAGGCGGTGTGGAGTCCTGATGGCATCCCACACCCTGGGGCCTGTTTACTGGGTTCAAACCTTGGCTCTGTGCCCTCGAACAGAGGACATTAAGTTGGCTTAATGTCTCTTAGCCTCAGTTTCCCCATCCATAAACTGAGGACTAATATTAAATACCTTACAGAGTTGCTCCAGGAAATTAACTAAAAACACAGACCTAATGTGAGAGAAGCATCCGTTGCCGTTTTTTCATTCTGCAACTTGTACCTACTGTGCACAGGCCGCTCCTAGGCACTCATGCCTATCTCACATGGTTCTGAAAACAGTCCAGGGGAGGGTGTTACCTCCTGCCATCTTCAGAGATTATGTAATAAGGTCAGGGCTCTGTCCTTGGGCCACACAGAACATGCTGGATGGAGCTGGATTCACACCTTGCCAGCTTTCCCCTTTGTTCCCATAGGTCTCTCTCTCTCACACACACACACACACACACACACACACACACACAATTGTCCCCTCCCTGGACCCAGAGCTGGCAGCCAGGGATAGCCTGGTCCACCACGGGACAGCCCAGCTTGGGCGTGTCAGGCCCCTTTGCCCATAGGGGGACTTCGTGGCACTGAGCACATCCCATCGTGGCCTCCTGGGTTGGAAGATAAGTAAGTGCCTGATCCCAGGGACCATGTGTGCCTCTTAGGCCCTCTCCCCGCTCCCCTCCTAGGACAGTGACAGGGCCATGGTGGCTGAGAGGGGCTGGGCAGGTGCACACCCCGCGACTTCATTCACGGTTTCCTCTGGAGCTTAGCAGAGGACGGCCCCCCACTGCTCACCCCAGCCACCTGATGCTTTGGCATTTGGTGTTGGAAAGTCAGTTTTCCTAAGTGAATTGAAAACCAATAGCCTGGCCTGGCCTGGCTTCCCCCTCCCACTGCCGCTGGTGGCCAGCCCCCTCCCTTCCTGTTTGTCTCACCTCCTGAGACCTTGTTCTTTCCAGGGATGCGGGCAGGCCCATTTGGCCCCTCTGAGGGGAGGACACTGCTCCGGGCACAGCCTGTGTGCATCCCCAGGCACTGAAGTCCCCTTGTTTGTTGTTAGGGTGGAGGGTGTGGATTTTGCTGAGACAGAGACACAGCCCAGAGGAGGGGAGGCTCTGGGTAAAGGCTTCTGGGAAGGGGGTCTCTCCCTCGAGATGCTGCTGCCTGCCTTGGGGTTCCTGGAGGAGGGGGTGGGGCCTAGCACCAAGGCGCCCAGGCCTGGTGCAGCCACCTCTGTGGGCCCTGGCCTGTCCCCCCACTTCCATCAGCCTGGCTGGCTGCAAAGGGCAGCTGTGGCTTCAGGGGCAGCACCAGGCTGGCTTGCGCTCGGGACGCAGTTCCCCACGCCAGCCCTCCCCGTGCCGTGACAGCACCATGGGATCTGGAGGGAGGCTCCGGAGGTCCAGTGCAGGGGACACTGGGGAGGGCGGGGGGTGGGGGCGTCCTCGCCTGGATCGATCGCTTCGGCATCCCAAGCCACGCCAACTGCTCCATCTGTAAAGAAGTCAATTCACACAGTATCATAGCTCTTAAGAGCCGGGTGGCATGGCGAAACTGAGGCCCCCGGGAGGTCACGGAGGGCGTCCTGGCGGGTCTCTAGCTGCCCACCCCTCCTCGGAGCCTGCAGCCTCACGACGCCTGCCTTCCCTCCACAGGCACTGATTCTGGGAGCGAGGTGCTCCCCGACTCCTTCCCCTCGGCGCCGGCTGAGCCCCTGCCCCACTTCCTGCAGGAGCCACAGGATGCCTACATCGTGAAGAACAAGCCGGTGGAGCTGCGCTGCCGCGCCTTCCCCGCCACGCAGATCTACTTCAAGTGTAACGGCGAGTGGGTCAACCAGAATGACCATGTGACGCAGGAGGGCCTGGATGAGGCCACAGGTGGGCCTGCCCCCCTTGTCTGGCCACCCCCAGCACCCTCGGGCCCGGGGGCTCCACCCACGGCTTCACACAGCCGTGGCCGCCCCCCTGGGCCTCAGTGTCCCCTCTGGGATTCACCCTGGATCAGTATTTCCCCGAGGGTTGACCATATGTCCCAGTGTGACTTTGGGGTATCTGATGAAAGTGCACCGAGTCCTTGCTGAGGGCTCACTCCTTCTTCTGGTTTCTCTCCATCTCCCACTTCCATCCGGGAGCAGTCTGGGGGGGCTAGAGCTCTTCCACGCATGCATGCACACGCACCCCAGCACCTGCTGTGCTTCCTGGTTAACAAAGAGCGCCCTCCCTGGCACGTAACCAGAATCCTAGACCGTCGTGAGTGCCTGAGGGCCTCTGTATCTGCGGGAAGTTATTCGGTTTCTGTTCATAAGAATGCTGTGTGTCCTTCATAGAGATCACTTCTTTTCAGTTTAAAGAAGAGGTCGGTTTTATCGGGTAAATAACCACGGAGGGGGTGCCGTAGGATGTAGTCCAGACCCCAAGGGTGAGGTGATCGTGGGGTCTCCAGGGCACCCCCAGCGGTGCCCCCAAGGCCAGGTGGGAGCTTATCTGTCCCCAGGCCCCTGTTTATAGTACAGGACCCTCTGGGGTGGAGAGCCTGTCCGAGGTTCTGGCCAGGGAGGGGGCCGCTCGCTGCCAGTGTCCAGCAGCCCCAGCCAAGCCCGGGCTCTGGGAGCCTCTCACCCTGCCTCAGCCTTGGTTTTGCCACATCCGCCTCTTCGTTATTCTTCTCTTTCTCCTTTTTAGCCCTCTCTCCTCTCCTTCTGTCTCTCCTGCCCGTCTCCCTGCCCACCCCTGTCTCTCTGTATCCCTCTTTTTTCCCTTATGTCTGTCTGTCTCCCGTCACCCTCCCCCACTCCTTTCTGCCTCCTTCCAACTTCTTTTTTCCTGTGAAAAGCTCGCAGATTTCAGAACCACCCAGGCTTAAAACCATACCCCAGCATGTACTTAATGCCACTCAACTGTGTATGTTAAAACGGTAAGTTTTAGGTTATGTATATTTTACCAAAATGCTGAAAGAATTTTAAAAAATAGATTTAGAGTCTCAGGCTCACCCAAAATCTAAAAATAAAAACGGGAATGTTTAAAAGAGGAAAAGAAGGGAACAAACCCCCAGCTGCCCCTGTTCCCTGTGACTCTGGAAAGTCGCTCACCCTCTCTGAGCCCCAGTTCCTCTCGTTGGGACCTGGGATGTTCATGGAAGGTCCTGGTGGGTGTGGAACAAGGAGGGGCCTGCGCAGGGTGGAGCGGAGCGCCAGGACCCAGCAGGCACTCAGTAAACCCCATTTCCTCCATCCCCCTTCTGGCTTTTCCTTGGCCGGCTTTTCCTCTTGAAGAGGAAAGTTCCCTGTCCCCCTGAGCCCCTCTGGCCTGTATCAGAGATCTCTGGTTGGGGTCCTGACGGAGCAAAGGGACGGTGTGCCCCGCTGGGGCCTCTCACAGACCCTGCAGTTACTAGTATTAGTGCCAGCGTGGCGCCTACTTCCCTACTACCATGCTCACAAGCCCTGCTGGCCCTAGAAATTGGGGCACTCATGTCCCCTTAGCTACAAAGAATAGACCGTAGTCCTGTGGGCGCTCCCTTGGCGGAAGTGTGGCTGGTTTCAGCCTCCTGCTCCCCACCCTGGCCCTCTGCGAGGCTCTGGAAACTCAGAGGATGACAGCCGTGGGCCCGAAGAGGTGGGACGAGCCCATCCTACCAGCTGGTGCCAGGTTGGGACAAGAGCCCAGTCCTGGGTGTCCCGGCCCACCATGCTGGAGTGGGGGGCACCTGGCGCTGGGGCCCAAATCTGAGAGACTGAAGGTCCCTGCCCGCCCACTGGGTGATGGTTTCTCTGTCCAGCGGTTGGGTGCTTCCAGATGGATGAACCCTCCCCCTCCTTGAGAGGGCCAGTTTCACAGCCAGGTGAATAGGGGCAGGGGCCCCTTCTGTGCTGCCAGGACTCCAGGCAGCCTCTGCGGGCGGCCAGGGCCACTCTCCCGAAGCAGCCTCTGCCCTCCCGGTGCCCCCCAGTGGCAGAACCCCAGCCCCCTGGTATTTAGAACCCTGGCCATCAGGAGGGGCTTTTCCTCGCTGTTGGGGCTCCCGGTGCAAAGGCCATCCTACCCCACGATGCAGGAGAGTTAAGGTAGTGAGTTCACTGGGAAAGGTCCAAAGAGGTCATGTATTTGGGGACAGAACTCTAACCAGGGCAAGCTGCCAGATAGAGGATCTCAGCTCTGCGGGTACTTTGAGGTGGGACTCTGGACCTGCCACTGACCCTCTCTGAGCTGCAGTTTCTCCACACGTGGGAAGGAAGGGGCCGGATGAGATCCAAACAGCCTTCCGGAACAGCTTTGTGCTCAGCCTTGGCTGGGCGCTATGGTAGCGCGATCGCCGTGATTGCTCTGCCGCTTACCCTGACTGTTTTACTCTGACGAGGGAACTGAGGCTCAGAGAGGCTGAGTAACTTAGTGAAGGTCACACAGCTGGGGAGTGAGGATGGGGCCAGGACTCAAACCTGCCCAACCATCCAGCCCTGCACTTGCCCACCATACCACAGTACCACAGCATGTACAGTTGATGATCCTGCCCTCGAGAAGCTTACCAGAGCCCACGTGCAGGCATGAGAGGGTGAGCTAGGACACATGGCAGGGAGGAACAGCTTTAGGGATTCTGAGATGGGGGCAGTCAGAAAGGGCTTCCTGGAGGAGGGGCCTCCCAGTCCTCCCACAAGCTTGGGGGAAGAGCTTTGGATGGGCATCCTAATCCAGAAGGGTCCACTCCTTCCCTGAGCATAAGGGGCTTTATCGAGGGTTGGCAGAAGGGTGAGTGATCCTCTCTGGGTAGGCTGGTGGATTTGGGGAAGCCCCCAGGCTCTGGTAGGGAGCGGTTGAGAGGTCAGGGGGCTCCTAGAAAGAAGGGCTCCCACCAGCTCCAGCTCCTAACCAGAGACAGGCCACATGCTCTCTTCACTTATTTACGGAGCACTTTCTCTTTGCCAGGTCCCGGCCACAGCAGGGAGCAGGGCAAAGCCCTGCTTTATTCTCTTGCAGGAAGTGTATAACGAACACATCAGTAGATAATACGGTTCCAGAGAGTGGTCAGGGTGGTGGGGAAATCAGGCGGGGCGGAGGATGATAACTACACAGCCCAGTGTGCAGCATGGGCCTTTGGGAGTGGGTGGAGATGGGCCAGTGTCAGAGCGGCCTTCCCTCAGGAAGTGAGGCCCAGCCCAAAGCTGGGAGCCCACAGGGCACGGAGGCGACAGAAGAGTGTTCCAGTCAGGAAACTGGGTGTGCAAAGGCCCTGTGGCCGGGGAGACCATAAAGAACTGGAAGATACCCAGTGAGGCTGTAGTGGACAGATTGTGCAGGGCCAAGAGGCCACGTGGGGGATTTGGCTCTTTACGTTGTGATGCTGGAGGCACAGCCGGGGGGATGACATGGCATTTGTGCGTTGTGAGGAGCACACACCGGCTGTGGGGTAGGACACAGGCTGGACAGGGGCAGAGGGCCCGTGTTAGCCCGTGCAGTCTGCAGGTGAGCGGACGGGTGGCTTGGGCCAGGGTGGAGTCAGAGGAGATGAAAAAATAGATGGAAATGGAGGCACTGGGTGGAAGAGAGACCGATGTCATAGTGCCGTGGCCTGTGCTTCATCTCCTCAGACCTGCCCCCTGATGCCCCTGTCTTGTTCTCCCAGGCCTGCGGGTACGAGAGGTACAGATCGAGGTGTCGCGGCAGCAGGTGGAGGAGCTGTTCGGGCTGGAGGATTACTGGTGCCAGTGCGTGGCCTGGAGCTCCGCGGGCACCACCAAGAGTCGCCGGGCCTACGTCCGCATTGCGTGTACGCTGTCCCGACCCCCCCCCCCCCACCCTGCTCCCCTGGGTCCCTTCCCCTCGCCCACGCACCCCAGAGAGGAAACTCCACATCTGTGGGAGCATCCCTTGCCCGCTGCTGAGACGTGAGGGCACATGGCCTCCTAGACCCGGAACCTAGGCCACCTCTGGCCTTGGGACTTCTAACGGCCCCTTTTGCTTACTTCCGTATCAGGAGCTGCCAGCCCCCTCACCAGCCTGGGTTGTTATGTGCTTAGGATCCCAGCGTCAGGGAGGGAAACCTGTTCCCCCAACACCACCTGGGGAGGCCCCCACTTTGGAGCAGAGAAGGTGCCCAGGCAGAGCCCATTTCCTTGGTGTGCACTGCCCCCTAGTGGCCAGAGTGGGACACTTCGGGCTTCTGTTCCCCCTAAGCGTGCCTGGCGACCCCACTTCCTTCTTCCAGACCTGCGCAAAAACTTCGACCAGGAGCCTCTGGGCAAGGAAGTGCCCCTGGACCAGGAGGTTCTCCTGCAGTGCCGCCCACCAGAGGGGGTGCCTGTGGCTGAGGTGAGCAGGGGGCAAGGAGAATACAAGGCATGGCAGAGACCAGCCAAGCATGGTATTTACTACCAGCCACAATGCCTCGGCCTCCCAGAGCTGTACCCATTTCATAGCCTAAATATCGAGGCTTTAGACAAAGAAGAGAATTGCCACCTCTGCAAAACTTGGCACGCACTAGACCCCAGCTGGTCCCGCCACTGGCATAACCCCACAGGAGGGGGCAGAGCTGGCGCAAGATTGCCACGGGCTACTTGCGGAGCCCCAGGCTCAGTCTTTTGCAAGGGAGGTGCCTGTGGCTGTTATCTTCCTTCCCTGCTTAGAGGCCAAAGTCCCAGCCTGATGGACGCCAAAGGGTTTCCCAATACGTGTGTCTGAGCACGTGGCCCTTGCTTTAACTGTGAAAGCATGTGCTACCCGCTAACATTCATGGCGTACTTGTGCAGTCGAGTCCTGTTCTCCACGCTTCGCGCACTAACTTGTTTAACCCTTGCATCAGCCCTGTCGGCGGATGCGAATAAATTCTGCCTTAGGAAGGATGCAGTCGAGGCTGGCGTTAAGTCCTTGCCCAGCGCCGTCCAGCTGGTGGGTGATTGTCACCACCACCATGCTCTGTAGTGCTGGGCACGGCGCCCAGCCAACGGAGGTCCACAGCCTCGCTGCGTCACCGCCGCGGGCAGACTTGACTAGAACTGCTGTCCTGTTTATGTCCGGGCCTCTCTCCCCCTCCAGAGAGGGCCTCTTCCCCGGGATGCAGGGGAGCAGGCACTGGACCCTCATGCCCCCCAACCCCATTCCTGTAGGTGGAGTGGCTCAAGAATGAGGACATCATCGACCCCACCCAGGACACCAACTTCCTGCTCACCATTGACCACAACCTCATCATCCGCCAGGCCCGCCTCTCAGACACGGCCAACTACACCTGTGTGGCCAAGAACATCGTGGCCAAGCGCCGCAGCACCACTGCCACGGTCATTGTCTTCGGTATGGGCCCTGAGTGGGGGGCTCCTGGCCAAGGGAGGGGGAGGGCCTGGGCCATATGCCCACCTCACCCCACCCTACCCGAGGGGCCAGTGAGATGCTGGTGGACAGGTGGGAAGGTGAGGCCCAGAGTGGGGAGGTGCCTTCTCCAAGATCACACAGTAAACTAGTGGTCAGGTCAGGCACCCCTGGGCTTGGGGTTGGAACAGGGCCTAGTCAGCATCCTCACCCCGAGCCTGGTGACCCAGCAGAGTACGGAACCGCTGTCCAGGCCTGTAGGCTGTTCCTTGCTGTTCCCTTTATTGGGAGAGGCAGAGCTATAGCTGAGATGCCCCGAGTACGGTAGAAAGAGCCCCGTGGCGGGTTTCAGGCACAGGTCCCCCATCACTGGGTGACCCTGGGTAAGCGTCACATCCTCTTGGGACCTTCGCTTACCATTGCACGATGGGGCTGGGAACAGACAGTGACCTCCCTGGTCCCCTACAGTGCTGACAGTGGCAGACAGCTCTGTCTGCCAGAGAGCGAGCCCAGTGCCGCCGCGGGTGGGGACCCATTAGGAAGGGTCTCAGCAGAAGGGCCCTGTCAGGGCTGGAGAGGGTCCTGGGGTCCCGCAGGCCACAGAGCCAGGTGACTCCCACCGCCCCTGCAGTGAACGGTGGCTGGTCCAGCTGGTCAGACTGGTCGCCCTGCTCCAACCGCTGCGGCCGCGGCTGGCAGAAGCGCACACGGACCTGTACCAACCCGGCCCCGCTCAACGGAGGCGCCTTCTGCGAGGGCCAGGCCTTCCAGAAGACCGCCTGCACCACCGTGTGCCCAGGTGAGGCCCCAGGCCGGCTGGCGTCCTACCCACACCCCGCCCACCCCGGCCCCCAGCCCTGCCCCCTGTGCCGTGGGACCTGGGGTTCCCATGGCCCTCTCCCCCCACAGCGGAGGTGGAGGGGGCTCTACTGCTTTCCAGGCCAAGGGCTCTGTGTCAGCCCCGTGGGCCAGGACCCCAGCGCTGCCCGGGGTCAGAGAGCCTGTGCTCCTGCCCTAGACTTGGGCCGCCGCCCCTAGGCCTGCAGAGGCCTCTCTCCCCTTGTCTCTGTCTCAGTCTGTGCTTCCGCATCTGTGGGTCTGTGCATGCCTGCTTTTGTCCCGCCCCTTCCATGTTGGCGTGAACGATGCGGTGTGTTCCCTTGGGTTTGTGTCTTTGTGGGTGCACCAGGCTGTGTCTGTGAGAGTGGCCTCCGGTGTCTGTTTGTGACCTTTCTGCCTGTCTGGGGCACCTGACTGCGCTGGCATGGGGCCATGTGGCCATGGGTGGATCTCTCCACGTGGCTTGTGTGTCCTGGGCCCCTGTCCTGCCCTAGCGCACACGCCTCTGTGTGTGTGTGTGTGTGTGTGTGTGTGTGTGCGTGCACTGTTGTGTGACTTGGGCCCCTGTCGTGCCCTAGTGTGTGTGTGGGGTGCGTCTCTGTGTGGTGCACACCCACCTGTGCACACCGGGCCCCACGTGTCATGTGCTGTGCTCCTGCAGTGGATGGAGCGTGGACGGAGTGGAGCAAGTGGTCAGCCTGCAGCACCGAGTGCGCCCACTGGCGCAGCCGCGAGTGCACAGCGCCCCCACCCCAGAACGGCGGCCGAGACTGCAGCGGGACCCTGCTCGACTCCAAGAACTGCACCGACGGGCTGTGCGTTCAGAGTGAGTCCTTGTGACGGCGGGGCCCGGGGAGGGGGCGGGTCGAGCCAGATGAGGGCCCCCCCACTAGCCCCAGGCCTCCAGTGCGGTCACAGTGGAGCAGCCCCTGGGGCCTCTGCCCACCCGCCACGTGCATCACCTCATCTGCGCGTCTCCTGTCACCTCCATCCTTTCTCTGCCACCTGTGTCATCGTCTTTCCCTTTATTTCCCTTGACAGAGAAGAAAACTCTAAGTGACCCCAAAAGCCACCGTAAGTCCCATTTCATGGCTGTCCTCTTTTCTCTGGGTGAACCCTGCTCTCCTTGGCTGGCTTTCCCAGGGTGTGGGGTGCAGGGCAGGGCGGGGGACAGGGAGACTTGAAGTTGCCTCCCCCACCAGCCCTCCATGGGGCCCCCTCGGCCCCCAGGACTGCACGCATCACGGCCTCCATCATGTGCAGACAGGCAGACCCTCCGCCAACAGAAAGGACACCATCCCGACCCTCCCGTCCTGGGAGAAGATGAGTCTCAGAGAGAAGGGACTTACCAAGTCTCAGGACTCAAACCTCAGTATTTACGTGGCCGAAGCTGGTTCTCTTAGCCTTGACCCCTCAGCCTTCCTCTCTGCGCCAGAGCCAGCACACAGGCCTACGCCTGTCCCTCCCGGTGCCCCTACTGGGCCCCCCCAATGAGCTTCTCCCAGCATCAGCCCCGAGGGGCTGGTCCACTTACCCCCCAGGCCGTCCTGCGGCCACGCCAGAGCAGTAGACCTGCTCAGGCAGATCGGCCTGTGGTAATTAAGCCATAATTTCTGAAGAATTCCAGATTCATAAAATCAGCAGTGAGCATCTGGGCCCAGCTCACAGCGGGCCAGGCTGGTAACTGATGAGAGACGGTCAGGTGACCCTTCATGGTTAGGGGGGACATCAGAAGGCAGAGCCGAGCCCCGAAGGCCTCCTCCAGCAGCACTCCTGGGCACCAGGGTCGTCTGGGGAGCCTGAGAGCGAGGGCCACCAAGGAGAGATGGGGCCAGAAGGTGGCAGAATTGGCCCGACGCCAGGACCGGGCTGTGCCCAAAGGCTCAGTGGGCCCCGGGGACATGGGGCTTGGACAGGCCCAGGCGGGAAAAGCAGGCCTTCCTTTCCAAGGGCCCTCCCGGGGGTGGGGGGTGGGGGGGTGGGACCGGACACTTGCGTCCTGCAGCGCCCCAGACAGGTGAGAGGGAAGAGCAGGCGTCTCAGCTCTGCCTTGCTCTGCCCTCTGTGCCAGCCACTCGCCATGTGCGGCCATTTCCACTTCCACTTTACTTAGTTAAAACTAAATATGTTTTTAAAGACTTAGTTCCGTGGTCACAGCAGCTACGTTTTAGTTGTGCATTGGCCACATGTGTCCAGTGGCTGTCACGTGGGACAACACAGAATGTCCGTCGTGGAAAGTTCTGCCTTGGACCCTGCCTCGGGACCCTGACACCTTCGTGCCTGGGCCATGTGTAGTTACTTGGAGCTGCGTAGCTGCCTGCCTGGGGGAGGGAAGTGTAGCCGGCGGGTGGCCTCCCTGAGCCCCTTCCTTCCCCTCCACCTGCTCACCTCCTCTCCACCCATTGCCTTGCATCTCATTGCCTCCTCCTGCTCCCCATCTGCCCCCGCCCCCTACCCTCAGCATAGGATGCAAGTTGAGCTCAGGATGACTGCCTACAGCGAATTCTGGGGGCCGGGACCCCCCGCTCTGGGGTGTGTGCCGCAGTGAGGGTCTTAGTCTGCATCCCGGCCAGGGCAGGACAAACGGAGCCTTGTCTCGTTGTCAGCAGTGAGCAAGAAGTTACCCATCGGGACTGACCATGAGTCATCTTGCGTCTTTCTGCGCTGGGGAGGGAAGCGAGGCAGGGGATTTGAGGCTGTTTTACTTGTAGAGACTGATGCGCAGAGAGGGTGAGGCTCCCCGGAGCCAGCCCTGAGGGCTCAGACCAGGCCCTAGCAGAGCGCCGCTCTGTCCCAGGACCTGGGTCTCTGCCCCCGCCCCTCACCCAGCCCTCCTGTCCCCCGCAGTGCTGGAGGCCTCGGGGGACGTGGCGCTGTATGCAGGCCTCGTGGTGTCCGTCTTCGTCGTCGTGGGTGTCCTCATGGTGGTGGGGGTGGTGGTTTACCGCCGCAGCTGCCGGGACTTTGACACGGATATCACCAATTCGTCGGCCGCCCTCACCGGCGGCTTCCACCCTGTCAACTTCAAGACTGCGAGGCCCAGTAAGGACCTGGGGACACCTGGGGTGGCAGGCACAGGCAGGGCACCCAGAGGGGCGGGGCCACCAGCCAGACTGGCTAGACTGGAGCCAGGGCTCCTACTCCCCCCCCCAAGCAGTTCTAGACTTCGCTCTAAAAATAACCAGATGAGTGTACTTGGGAGAGGTACAGAGACGGAAGGGAGCCCAGGTGCTGAGTCCCCAGAGTATCCTGCGTCGATGGCACGTGGACCTTTGGCAGCTGGACTTCTGGGTGGGATTTTGCAACAGAAGGGCCCCCGGCGGGAGCGGGGGATGGGACCGGGCCAGCGAGGTACAGCTGGCTGGGTCTGACTGTAGCCTCGACGCCCCCAGACAACCCACAGCTCCTGCACCCCTCCGTGCCTCCGGACCTCACGGCCAGTGCCGGCATCTACCGCGGGCCCGTGTATGCCCTGCAGGGCTCAGCCGACAAGATCCCCATGACCAACTCACCCCTGCTGGACCCCCTGCCCAGCCTCAAGATCAAGGTCTACAACTCCAGCACCACCGGCTCGGGGCCAGGCCTGCCAGATGGGGCTGACCTGCTGGGGGTCCTGCCGGGCGGCACGTATTCCGGCGACTACGCCCATGATGCCCACTTGTTGCCCCTGCGCAGTGCCAGCCTCAGCTCCCAGCAGCTCCTGGGCCTGCCCCGTGACCCGGGGAGCAGCGTCAGCGGCACTTTTGGCTGCCTGGGAGGGAGGCTCAGCATCCCGGGCACAGGTGAGCCCCTGTTCTGCCTGCCTGTCAGCCTGGCCTCAGCGGGTCCCATCTGGGCATCCCCAGCCCCTCCCCACTCTACCACCAGCAGAAGATAGGGCTTCCCTGATCCCATTTCACAGATGGGGAACATGTGGTCCAGGGGAAGAAGGGACTATAGTGTAGAAGACTTGAGATCCAGGGGCTTCTCGGTCTCCCCAAGGCAGGGGAACCTTGGACCAAGTGGGAGAGAATATGTCCTTGTAATTCAGCAGCTCTGCAGAGCACTACTGAGCAGGCAGGGCCGCCCATCAGCCGATAGTTTCCCGGTGTCACACTAATCTGGGGCTGGAGCTGGCCCTGGGGCCTCCCAACTTTGGGACTTTACCCTGTCTCTCTACCCAATCACAGTGCCAGAGGCCCCCCGTGTTACCAGACACAGCCACCACTGTCAGTCCCCTGGCCTCCCCTTGTATTTAGTCCCCTAGCTTCTCTCCCCACCCCTTGCTGGTGGCCACCTGGACTTCAGGGGATGCCTTTCTCCCTCTGCCCCAAGTTAGGAGCCAACCAACCCCCTCCCCCACGCCCCACCCAGTTCTAAGCTCTTAGACTCCCTCCTGCTGACCTCCTCGTCCCCCTAGGGGTCAGCCTGCTGGTGCCCCATGGAGCCATCCCCCAGGGCAAGTTCTACGAGATGTACCTCCTTATCAACAAGGCAGAAAATACCCTGTGAGTAGAGAGACCTCAGTCTGGCATGGGCTGCCCCCATTCTCTTCCTCTTCCCGCTGCCTGCCCGCCTTGGGTTCAAATATCACCATCTGAGCCTGATCCTAAAGTAGTCAGTCTTCCAAGGAAAACAGACCTTATAATGTCCACATTTAAAATGTACAATACCAGCACAGCAAATCGTAAAACTGAGAGGCAATTGACCAAGTAGCTACGAAATGACAAAAGGCTCATATCCTTACTATGTAAAGAGGCTTTCGAGACCGATAAAAAAAGTAAACGTTTCACTACAAGAAGGGGTAAGGGATAGGAACGAGTGATTCACACACCCTTTCTCTGATGCACGCACAGACACACATGCACGCACGCACACAATGGCCAGGAGATTATGAAAAAATGCTCAGCCTACGTTGTCGTCAAAGAACTAGAAATCCAAACAGCCAGGGGATACTAGGGGGTTTTTGTTTCGCGAACGTGCAAAGATTTTTTTCAAACGACCACACCTTCACATCGACAAGAGTGCGGGGTCGGCCCTTCCGTGGCACGCGGGAGGGAGCACGGACTGGTCCCAGCTTCCACAAGGCCGTTTAGCACCACGTAACCAGAAACATCCCAAGAGCGCAGACCCTTTGAAAGTGTGAGCTAAGATGCAGCCGTGAGAACGCTGCAGTGTAATAGAGAAGTCTGAAAACAATCCCAAGTCCTTGGCCATCTTTCTGCATCTCCTCAAGCCCTCACCTCCGGGGACCTGGGGGTGGAGACCTGCCTATGTCACCCAGGAGCCGAGGCAGGGGTGCCAGCCCCGCGCCCGTCGCTTGCTGAGCTTCTGGCCTCCCCTCAATGCCTCCCTCTTGCCTTCTGCCCTATCGCCAGCCCGCTCTCAGAAGGGACCCAGACAGTACTGAGCCCCTCGGTGACCTGTGGGCCCACGGGCCTCCTGCTGTGCCGCCCTGTCATCCTCACGGTGCCCCACTGTGCTGAAGTCAGTGCCGGCGACTGGATCTTCCAGCTCAAGACCCAGGCCCACCAGGGCCACTGGGAGGTGAGGAGCCAAGGCCGGGGGTCCGGATCTCCTACCTGAACCTGCTCTGGGAGGCCTCAGAAGCTGAAAGAAGGCCCCCTTTCCCCTGGCCCAAGCCGGGCGGATTTCTCTGCGGCCCTGACTGGGACCGTCTGCCTCCCCGCCACAGGAGGTGGTGACTCTGGACGAAGAGACCCTGCACACGCCCTGCTACTGCCAGCTGGAGGCCAGGTCCTGCCACATCCTGTTGGACCAGCTGGGCACCTACGTATTCACGGGTGAGTCCTATTCCCGCTCGGCAGTGAAGCGGCTCCAGCTGGCCATCTTCGCCCCTGCCCTCTGCACGTCCCTGGAGTACAGCCTCAGGGTCTACTGCCTGGAGGACACACCCGTTGCGCTGAAGGTAAGGCCAGGCCGTAGGCGCCACCCAGCCCTGGCACACTGTGGGTGTGTGCCAGTTGCATGGTACCTTCCAGGGTCCCCCTACCCAGAATCATGGTGCTTTCCAGGCACCCCTCCACCACCATCGGCCTCGTGAATCACTCATTCATTGCTCAAACACCGAAATGGCATCAGATCCTCAGGATACAGTTCTGCCCTCACCGAGCTGCAGGCTAGAGGGGGGAAATAGACCAGGGCCTCACTGATGGGGAGCACCAGCCCAGGAGGGGGAGGGTCTCAGAAGCCTTCACAGCACATTAACCTTAGACCTGTGCTCCCAAAGCCAAGTGAGGGTGCCAGGCAGAGAAGAGTGAAGGCCATTCTGGTGGGCAGAGCAGCTGATGCAAAGACGGGTGTGTTCTGTGGGCCCGAAGCATGCAGGGGCTGTGGGTGTGGGAGGGAGTGAGATGAGGCTGCAGACAGGGGAGGGTTCAGCCCCCCAACAGCCTTGGGAGCCACATTCAGGAATTTGGGGATCTAGCCGGTGGGCGGGGGCATAGATATGGACACCTGTTCACAGGTGCTCTTTTGAAAGCTCACGTGCTATGCTGTGGGGACGGGTAGATGGGAGGGGGGTGGCCAGTGGGGAAGCCACGTCGGGACCGCGGACACCAGGCCATGGCAGCAGTGAGGGCAGGGGTTGGCCGCTGTGTTAATAGAACGGGCAGAACAGTGATGGAAGGGACGACAGGGAGAAGGGGGCATGATGGCTGGCAGCCAGACTCCTGGTCTGTGCAAAAGAATACACGGTGCCCCTAAATGAGGGAGGGGCTGTGGCAGGTACCACTGGTTTGGGGCAGGAAGGAAAGGGAGGCGGAGGGACCGGATTCAGGCACCTAGAACCTGGTGGTGGCCAGAGGGGAGCTTCTTTTAGCACCGCCCATCCCCCCGCCCCCGGTCTTCAAGTCCCAGTCTGTTGCCTCCCCCACCCCGAGTTCCTAGGACCTCGAGCTCATCCTGTCCCTGGAAGAGCATAGCCCCTTGGCCTTGTGTAGACCGTCTCCTTCTGCCCACCTCTCTGCGAAGCCCCCAGGGCCTCTCCTGTAGCTCCAGGCCTCCCCCGACCACGGTCTGTGGTTTCCTCTAGCTCCTGTCTCACAGTCTCACATGACTTGGCCCCGACTCCAAGTCGAGGACTGATGGAACACAGGTGACAAGGCCTCATGGGAGAGCGAGTGTCTTCTGCTGGGCCAGGCTGGCCTGAAGTTGCAGAAGGCCCACGAGGGATTGGAGGCTTGGAGGAAAGGCTCTCGCAGCCTGGACCTCAGTACCGGGGCACTGGCCAGTGTCCAGTTTTGATCAGAGAATGGGGGGTAGATCAGGGGGAAACCTAGCACATTTGAGCTTGGTGGCATCATTTGTTTATTCAGTCCCTGTCCATCCATCTGTCCATCCACCAAGCTTGCTGCTCATCTGCCTGTATACTCATTCACTCAGCAGTCCATCTGTCTGTCTAGCCGTTACCAACTATCCATTCATCTTCCCTTCCATCTGTCCTTCTATTTATATACCTATTTGTATATCCATCTACACATTCACCCGTCTGTCTGTATCTGTCTATCCAGCTATTTATCCATCCATTCATCCATCTATAAATCCAGTTATCTACCCATCTGTCCCATTATCTGTCCATTCATCCGTCTATTCACAGTGTGTCTTCTCTGAGCACTTACCAAGTGCCCGGCCCTGTGCTCAAATGGTGGCCTAACTCCAGTCTTACAGCTGGCCCCCACTGGCCACATGTGTCCCCAAACCCCAGACTTGCAGTAGGAAAGACCCCACGGGGCAAGTACGGTGGGCTCCTCCTTCCCATCGCCTCCTGCCCACAGGAGGTGCTGGAGCTGGAGCGGACCCTGGGCGGCTACCTAGTGGAGGAGCCGAAACCCCTGCTGTTTAAGGACAGTTACCACAACCTGCGCCTCTCTCTGCACGACGTCCCCCATGCCCACTGGAGAAGCAAGCTCCTGGCCAAGTACCAGGTGCGGGCTGGGCCCCGGAGGTGGCGAATGAAGCTGGGGGCGGGGGCTGTTTGGTCTGCCCAGGGGAAGTCGGTGCCCCCTCCCAGGCCCTGGCCTTCCAGTCCCCTCCTCTAGCCTTGCCCCCCCTACCCGAGTCTCTGTCTCCCTTCCACCCCGCTCTCCATGCCCCAAGCCATCCTCAGGCACATCCTTACATTCGATGCCATGGGCAGCCACGCTCACCCCCGGCCCATCACACTCCTACACACAAATGTCTGCAGACCCATCTGCAAAGAGGCCTTAGCGTCTCTAAGGGCGCTCATGCCCAGCAGGCTGTCCAGAGTAACCTCGGATAGTCACACCCCGTGCCTGCACCTGAGCAACACCATGGAGGGCCTCCAGCCCCAGACATCCGTGTGCGTGCATGCACGCACATACACACCCACTTGCACACACACCCACGCATGCATGCTTCCAGACGTGTGCCGTCTTCCCCATTTGCTCCCTTTCTCAGCTGAAGGGCCCCTGACCAACTCTTCTTCCTCTTCCTGCACTGTGTCCCCCCACCCCAGAGGTCCCATCACTCCCTGAGGTTGGCCTCCTGACCGGCCTCTGCCTCCATTCCTCAAGGGCAGGGTGGGCTGGCCTCCCCTCCTTGACCCTGACGCACCTCCCTCAGGAGATCCCCTTCTATCACATCTGGAGCGGCAACCAGAAGGCGCTGCACTGCACGTTCACCCTGGAGAGGCACAGCCTGGCCTCCACGGAGCTCACCTGCAAGATCTGTGTGCGGCAAGTGGAAGGGGAGGGCCAGATCTTGCAGCTGCACACCACGCTGGCGGAGGTGAGGCTGGAGGACATACTATCTGGGGCCAGGGCATGCAGCAGTGTGCCTGGGAATGCTGCTGGCCATAGACACGTCCCCTTTGTTCCCCCCAACCCCCGTCTGAGCTGGGACTCAGTCACTTTTTGGTAAGAGCTACCACTTACTGAGTGGCCGGTCCTGTGCATGACCTGTGCCAGGTAACAGAGATGACTTCACTAAATCAGAAGGTAGCTTTTAGGGAGGAAGATACCATCGACCTTGTATGGGGTCAGTGCTTGCCCAAGCCCATGGTTCTCCCCCGCTTTGCACCCAGACTGAGGTTTACAAAACCCAGGCCACCCAGGCTGGCAGTGCGAGAAACTCCTTGATGCGCAATGTCAAGAGCGCTAGAGGCCTAGACCCAGCTCTGCCCCTAACTTGGCGTGTGACCATGGGCAAGTCACTTCCACATTCTAGACTTCATTCCCACATGTGTAAAAGTGGGTCTGTGCAGATTAGACTGGCTGAGGCTCCTCATGGCTTTGGAATCATGAAGCGGCACCCGCATTAGCCTGGGGCAGTGCATTGGCATGGTGCACTCTGAGGGCTGGGGGTTGGGCATGCAGCCCTGGCCCTTGGAAGTTGACCTTGCAGGGGAGGGGGTCTTTGAGCAGTTGGCCTGCCCAGAGCATGGGGAGGGACCTCCTTGAGCTCACAGTCCCGATGCAGGAAGGTTGGAGGGGCAGGTGCCAGTGCTGTCCATGGGGGAATCCCCTGTCCCTCTCACCTCAGCCCCTGCCCTTACAGACACCTGCTGGCTCCCTGGATGCCTTCTGCTCTGCCCCTGGCAGCACGGTCACCACCCAGCTGGGGCCCTACGCCTTCAAGATTCCACTGTCCATCCGCCAAAAGATATGCAACAGCCTGGACGCCCCCAACTCGCGGGGCAATGACTGGCGGCTATTGGCGCAGAAGCTCTCCATGGACCGGTGGGTGTTGGGCCAGGCTGGCCTCAGCCCCACTTCCCTTTGTCCCCGAGGGGCAGATGGACAGTCGAGGATCTGATCCCTCCATTTGTGGTAGATTAGGAGCTTAGGCTTGGGTGGGCTCCATCTGAGAAGCCCATTTTGGGGGAGCGCCATGCTCAGAGCTCTGGCCCGTGAGGCTCAGGTGAGGCCAGGACACCAGGTGTGATCACCGTCTGCATCCCCAGGCCCAGGACAGAGCAGGTGTTCTGGAAATGTTTGCTGAGTGACAGAGTCTATTTTGGTGTCCACGCCCTTCCTTCTGGAGAATTTAAAATGCTGGATAAATATAATGGCAATATTAGTCATTAGTCTTACATTATACTTACTGAGAAACCATTTAATAAACCTGCGTTGAGCAGATACCACGTATAAGACAGCTTGCTGGAAATGGATGGGCTTTACAAAGTGTCTGAGGCTCTGTTCCTGCTCTCGGGGCAGTGTGTGGGGCAACACCAAGCAGGGAACGGATGTGGGAGGAAGAAGGAATGGAATGCTAGGTTTGGACAGTCTCTCCTGGGGCCCATGTCTTCCTCCAGTGGTGATAATAACAACAATGATGAATGATGATGAGCAATGCAGTTTCCATGTTAGGGATGAGGAAACCGAGGCTCAGAGAGGAGCAGTGGCTTTCCCAGGGCTACAGAGCCCCCAAGCAGAGGGGCTAGGGTTCAGACCCAGGATTGGGGGACCCCAGAGCCTTCCCACTTGCTGGTGCTTGGTCCACTTCCAAGTTCCTGGGAGGTGCTGAGTGTTTGACCTTCTCCTTCCCTCTGCCAGGTACCTGAACTACTTTGCCACCAAAGCGAGCCCCACAGGTGTAATTCTGGACCTCTGGGAGGCTCTGCAGCAGGACGACGGGGACCTCAACAGCCTGGCGAGTGCCTTGGAGGAGATGGGCAAGAGTGAGATGCTGGTGGCCATGGCCACTGACGGGGACTGCTGAGCCACCCCTGACCATGGACTGGGAGGGCTGGCAGGAGGCGGGCACACGGGGGACCCCCGGGCAGCCTCGTGTGAGGCAGTGCAGCCTCTGCTGCCCACCCCCACTCACAGCCAGAGTCGCCCCCTCCTCCTCCCCTTGCCCCACTCCCAGACCACAACCAGCCTTAGCAAATCTATGTACTCCATTGTCAGGAAGACCCAGTGTTCCTTCTCCACCCCCTGCTGTCCCTCCTGCCCTCAGATCTCCGTGGAGGAACCGAGATGAGGCCTCTGGAGACAGCAAGGGGGGCCAGGAGGTGGCCCTACCCCCCCCCCACCTGCCACCTCTGCTCCAGGAGCTCTGGGTGATATTTGTCTTAGATGCGTCCTTCGGTTTCTTCCTCAGTTACTGGTTTCTCCCTCCCGCCTAAGTCCTCTCCTCCTTTCACACCGTTTTCCTCTTTGAAGAGTCAAGTACAATTCAGACGAACTGCTTTCTCCCTTCCAAATCAAAAAGGAAAAGGAAAGGAAGAAAGAAAGCTTCAGACCGCTAGTCAGGCTCAAAGAAGAAAAAGAGAAACACCAAAACCACAAGGGAAAAGAAAAACCCAGTTTCTTAGGAAACGCAAATGATTTATTATCCAGATATTTGGATAAGTCCTTTTTAAGAAAAAAAAAAAAAGAAAATGAAAAACAACACACAAAAAAATAGAAAACTCTTTTCTTGAGTGTGGGTGAGTGTGGGCTTGCTCATGGTTCTGGCCAGGAGTGAGCATATGTGCATGTGTGCGTGTGTGTGTGTGTGAGAGAGAGAGAGAGAGAGAGACAGAACAGGGAACACCTTGCTGCTAATGATTCTATCTTAGACTCGAGTCCTACAAGGCCTCAGTTTCCCCAGTTGTACAGGGTCAAATGGGGTTTTTAGCCATGGTACCATGTTTCCCTCTAAAATGCTAAGCAGATGCTAACTCTATGCAGCCAAGGAGCCCTGAGGTCTGCAGCGGCCTGGGGTCCTGCCTCCCACATCCCCAGGCAGACGTCCCACAGGCTCCCTGGGCTTCTGGAGAATCCAGATTAAGAGGCCCGGGGATGGAAACTGGGCAGGCCAGTCCAGCTGTGAGCCAGTGTTTCCAGTGCCCGGGTCTGGTGGCTCCTGGAAAAGGGGGTGGGGCCCAGAAATGGGGCTCTAGCAGAGAAAGAAGTACGGGGGTGGGGAGAGGTGAGAGTCTCCCATGGACACTTCTCTCCTTCACCCCAGGGTGGGACCGGCCAGGTCACCCCTCTGCCTAGCAGCCCCTCGCCCAGGTGGGCTGGAGCAAATTGACATTCTGCTAATGCCCAGAGATCCAGAAACTGGTCTCCCCCAGCCTCAGTTTCTCTGTCTATAAAACAGGAAGGATGGATAAGGGCCTCTAACTGCAGAAGACTGAGCTTCTGGGCCAGAGCGTGGCTTTGAGGGACGTGTGAGCCATCAGCCCCGCAGGCCAGGAGGCTGGGAGGTGGACCGTCTGGCTGTGATCTACATGTGCGCCCCTGTGAAGGAAGACCTGGGGAGGGCTGTTTTCCCGGCTCTGACCCCACCCAGCCCCTCCCTCAGCCCTGTTCTCCCCCTCCCGCTGCAGCCTGGGAACTCTTAAAGTGAGCTCTGCATAGGCGGGGCTGCCCCAGAGGAGGGGGCTCGCACCTCCTCACCAGCCTGCTCCGGGATGTTCCAGGGGGCCTGCAGGGTCCCTTTTTGGCCAGCTGATGATGGCAGAGACCAGGCTTTTACGGCTGGCACAGAGGCCTCGTCACAGGCTTCTCTTGAGCACCCAGGGCAAAGCAAATGCCAGCTCTTCCCAAAAGCTCTGGGCAGTGACCCCAGGGCTTGCCTCAGCTCGTCTATGAGCAGCTGCTGGGACCAGCCTGGGCATATCCTGGCCCTTGAGAGTCTGGCGTCCTGGGAGGAAAACAGGCTTTAGTGCTCTAGTTGGCAACCCCGGCCTGACCTTCCCTGCCACGGACTCTGGGGCTCATAGGGCTCTTGCCACCTACCTACGACCCTGGGGGGTAGGTCGGCCATGGGCAGACAGGCCTGCTGGGTGTGAGAGAGGATTTCTTCTATCAGGGCTGCTGAAGGGGCCAGGCCTACACTTGACCCCAGTGCCTGTGTGGTGTTGCCCCGAAGGCAGTGAGCTTTCCTGCCCAAGGTGCCCATCCACTGTGGGCTCAGCACCCCTGATGAGTCCTGGCCTGAGCTGTGCAGGCATGTGTGACCTGAGAGCAGCCTGACTGGTGCCACGAGAGGCTTGACCCAGATGCTTCCCATCAGTCTCTCAAATGCTCACAGGCAGCCTGGAGCCCAAAGACCAGCACTCCAGCTCCAGCTGTGCCAGTAAACTGCTGTGTGACCTCAGGCACATGACTGTCTTCTCTGGGCCTCACTTCCTTTTTATACCTGCAGCTGCTGTCTGACTCTGCTTGGGTTCTGAGGCACGGCCATTCTGGGTTTCTAACAGGAAGGAACCCCAGTGGGGGGCAGTTGACCATGGTCTGCCACGCCCCTCCTCCCTTCCCTGATCGCTCGGCAGCCCTGATGGTAGCTCTCGGCGGGTGAGGCCAGGCCAGCCACACACGTGCCATTTCTCATCAGATTTCCAGAAATTGTGTACCAGAGCCTGGAGCACAGAACCGATTGGCTGGGGCCTCCTGGGAGGGTTCAAACCATCCAGCTTTGTAAGAAACGTCTAGAAAGGGTTTGCTGCCCTCATCAGTCACCTCTGCCAAGGCTGCTGTGGCTGCGCCCCCACGCTGCCCACCTTAGGGTGGGATCAGGGTTTCTCCTCTTAGTTCAGGCCCGAGGGGCAGCCCCACGTGGCCTGTGTACCCCCAAGAGTGCAGAGCGGGGGCCACCGCAGGCTTGCAGGGCCCCCACGTGGGTGTTTACGTCTCTCATCTCTGGGGTGTTTGCTTGCGTGTGTGCATGCCCTGTGTGCGGGTGCTGTTGTCTGCAGGCACATCTGGGTACCCCTTCGGGAGCGTGTCCCCACCCGGGTGTGAGCGTGTGCCCCTCTGAGTCCACAGGGTCAGTTGGTATATCTCCTATGTGCCTCTCCCTCTGCCTTCTCCCGCAGTGACCTGGGCTCCAGAGCCCCAGGCCAGGGGTCCTCCTGAGGGCGTGGGGGACCCCATCTCCTGGACTATCCAGGGCCCTCTGGTCCTCCCCCCAGCAACCAGGCAGCTGAGATGGGTCCCTTAGCAGGCCCTCCGAGGGGAGGTGGCCAGGAGTTCAGGTGCAAGGAGCAGATCTCCTGGGGGCAAAGGGCTGGACCCCTGCCTGGGCCGTGGACATACGTCCTGTGTCCCGGGGATGTAGGGCTGCAGGAATGGCCCGACCCCACCGCTGTCTAGTCTGTAAACTTCAACCTGTAAATAACGTTTAGCATTCCTATTGTAACAAAATTAATTTTTACAAAATAAATTATATTTCCTAGTCTAATTTAAAAAAAACAAACCTCCTGGTTGTGTTCTGTTGGCTTCTTGATGGTCTTTCTATCAGCAGTTGGAATGACCTTCCTGCTTTTCTCAAAATTCCATGGGTCTGGAATCAGGTGGTCGCTGTCAAAGCTCTCTCAGCTCCTGGAAAATGATTAAGGTCAATTGCTTCATTTTACAGAGGGGAAAGCTGGCCCAGAGAGAGGTAAGGATTTCTCTGGGGTGGCTCAGCAAGTTAGAGCCTGTGCTGGGTCTGGATGCCAATCATTGCTCCCCAGTCAGCATTCTCCATGTATAAGCATTCATGGGATATGTCCAGGGGTCAGTCATTTGCGCCTGCTGTGGGCTAGGTGATGGGCGGAGATGCCTATAAGAAATTCAGAAGGGCTGAGGCAGAGAGGTCAGTTTAAGGTACTCACCTGGAACATAATAATGCACATAGAAAGGGATAGATGGGTGGTGGGCTGTGATCGCGTGACTTTGAACCCAGGGCTGCTCTGCGTGGCTGGGCAGGTTACGCACTGAACAAGACTACCATGCCTAAAGGAGAGAATGGGGCCATTCCCACAGATGGTAAATTTGCATATTTACTACAGGATGTTTCCAGCAGGTGGCAGTAAATGGTCTTGTTCTAATAAAATCAACATACTGGTGTTCATTTCCCCACAGATGAAGTATTTTGAAGGGGCATCTTTTTTTCCTACTGTGCAGGAAGGTAGCCAGTGTTAGCTGGCTCTATGTGGGTGGACAGGGTTCATCAGCTCAGGAAGGGCTCTGAAAAGTCCCGTGGGAACAAACTGGTCTTCTCATACAGTGTGTCCCCAGTGTTTGGCCGTAGACCCCTTTCTCAACCTTTTCATGCCCTGAAGTATGTGGCATCTATAAGCCCTGCCAGCTCGGACTTTCAGGGACCCATGGCAGCTGTGTCACCTGGTTGTCCCCCCAGGGGTAAGGAGCACATGTGGGCTAGGTCCTCTCGGAGCTCGCAGCGGGGCAGGCAGGACAGTCAAGGCACACTTGCACGTACGTGCACGCACGCCCACCGCTCAGACCGTCGTCCTTCCCTGGGGACCCGGGAGCATCCACATTCGTCTAGTGGGTGAGGAGGAAGTGAAGGGGGGTATAGCCTGAGGTGAGGCAGCAGTGCAGGGAGGAGGTGGGCAGAGTCCAGTGAGGGACAGTTATTTCATGCAAACAGCCCCCACAAGCAGGCAGATTGTCTAGGGTCCCTAGGAGTCAAGGGTACCATTTAAACCCCCCACCCTCTGCCCTCTACCTAAGCAGGAGAGCCTGGCCTTGCACCCACCCCTTGTTGGGTGCAGAGTTCTGACTTGGGGAGCAGGGACCTGGGTCCTAGTTCTGATGCTGTGTGGGTCGCTGTCCCTCCCTAGGCCTCAGTTTCCTTATCCACGAAATGGGGGCCTTAGAGCCACTGGTCTGTAAGTTCCTTCTGGCTGGTGTAGTTCCGTAACGTGGGGGTCCTGGTTCCAGGCGGGGTGTGACAGCCCCACCTGGTGGCCCCTCCTCTCTCACAGTCCAGGGGTGGATGGGGAGAAACCAGAAACCTGCAGAAGATGGGCTGGTTCTGACCCTACAACTGAGTGGCTGCCCCACGAAGTGTCCTGGAGCAGAGCCGTGAGGTGATGAGGCTGCCCACCAGCTGCCCCCTCCTCCACAGGGGGCCGTAATAAAACCCATCCAACCCCAGCCCAGGGCTTGAGATCACACGCAGGAAGGCCTCAACCAGCTCGGTTTCGCAAACTGGCCAAAACTCTTGCCCATCTTAATTCAAGATATGATACATGTTTATAGCTAAAAACATTTTTTTAAGGAACAAAAGAATAGGTGAGAAGTAGATGTCCCTCACTCAGGTGTCACCCCCTTCCCCCACTCCCTCCCTGTCCCATCTCCACTGCCACCTCTCCCCCCTCCCCACCCCCCTCATCCCCCACCAGAGACAATTGGTTCATTTTTTATATATTCTCTCAGGAAGATCCATGCAAATACAGACGTACATTTCTACATGTAAATATTTAAATACAATGAATCTGATCCAAGAGTCTCAACCCCTTGAGGTATAAACATGAAATAGTTTTATTTTTCTAATAACTGCTCGGAAATTCATTTTGCCGCCGCTGTGTTTCCCACAGGATAACAGACCCCCTTCATGAGGTCCCCGTGGATGTCCCTCACTTTTCCCTCCCTGGC